CATTGCTTTGCAAAGTCCTCGTGCACCTTGCACTGCAGCACTTTGAGGCATGGGTGCGCGGAGACCGGAGATGGGGGCCGGGGCTGACACCCGCAACCCTCTGGAAATTTTACATGGTCGCTGTGGGCTGTGACTGAAAATAAATAATCCAAATGGCGTCATCTCCCTCCCTCCCAACGTGGAACAGCGTCCGTTGCCCCATGCCGGCGAAAAACAATATTGCCGTTTTTTGTAGATTCTTCTCAGTATAGTGCATGTTGTCAATTTGACCCGTTGGCCATATAACGCATCAGTGTATAAAACACGTTTGCATGGGCAGTGGCAAGAATTTTGCAAGGTGATATTCGATGTTTTTTTTCCCTCAACTACCTTAAGGCTTTGGACGCTAGTTTCCAGAAGTGTTTTGTTTCTTTATGGAAGAATGATATAATAATTCATCAGGCTATTTGTTATGATGCTGATAAACACATCCCAACCAAACGTTGCTCAAGAATCACAGGCTCAATTAGTACACTTTTCCAGGTCTCCAACGCGTTTAGCGTGTTCGTTTATGACACTTTCGCAACCATTATTTTACGGCGGTCATTCCCAAGCGCCCGGCGCCGCCACCTAGCGTCATCCGCAGCAGTCAACGCCGTCCGGTTTTACGGAAACTGCAACCCAGCCATAGCTGCTCTTCTCCTAAAATTGCGAACGCGCCAGCTCAACACTTTTGCGTTATTCGTTTCACAAGCCGACTGTGTAAAAGAACGGGAGTTCTCAGGCAAACGTGCGGTGACCTTTTCTTCATTTTTGATCTCAGTCCGATCCACTCCGTTGAACACAAATGAGACCCCTTACCCTTTTCGGGGCAGCGCGGCGACACCAGTCGTTGATGGGAGGAACAAAGTCACAAAATCATTATGACACTTGAATGAAGGGAAATAGACGGGGAATCATGCGTTCAATATCTGGCGCTCCTGTAAAAGATGATTGCTATACAAACTCCTCGTGTAACTTTTTTCCTGGTGTAAACGCAGGTCTGTGCGACCTAGAATAAGCATGTTGCGAGCTTGAAAAGAATGGAAAAATTATGAGATTGGGTCTCTTACGCAAAGATAGGTAAGGGACATGTTACTACAACGCAACGAACTTGAAGCCGCGCGCATTTTAATCATGTTTTTACCTGTAGAACGGGTTGAAAACACTTGCCTGTCTAGTGGAGAACATTTTTAAGCTCTTAAAGATTATCCAGTGATCCGTGATGATGAAATGACGCTATAGCCACGAAAACTTCAGACTGTTTCCTCAGGTTCGTTGACAAAATCTTTCTCACGGGAGCTAGATGTCAACGAAAAAGTGACGAAAGATATATAGCGTATTACGAAGGTGTCTGGCTGGCAATGAAGCAGAGAATACAGCCAGTCACACAGGGGCAATGCTCGGGAATTTGTTCCCGGCAATCTGGTCAGTCACTGTCGGAAAGCTCCATGAAAGCCATTCCGCTACGGCGTATATATCGGCTGGCCACCGTGCAGAGGGCGTTCTCATGTCCAGCCGCAGCAGCCTGGAGCGGCTTGCCATCGTGCGTCTGCCACGTCACAACACTGAGTGCGTTTACGACCGCCACATGCAACGTGATTTTAACCACTGAGAACTGATCTGATCCGGCACAACGTGCGTTGATATGCCTGTTTTAGCTCTTTGACTATTATTTGTATCATTTTTGTATACTTTTTGTGTATGCCTTTTCATATTGCACCTGTATGACATGAAACAGTAACAGGCACCATGTGGATGGCTTTCAATATATTGATGCTGATACTGATACGCTACGGCTGATACTGATACTGCTACGTTAGGTTCTTAGGATGCGTAAATATTAAGCAAAACCGGCAAATGCCAAGAAACACAAAACGGGACACTTCTGCAATATTTGTCAAGTCTGTCCACCTAAAAAAGTTATGAGGGATCTAACAAATTCTAATTTGGACTTTGACTCGAGACTAATTTCTGCCAGCGCAGTGGTTTGCTTGAACTTCAAAATTTCCCCATGGTATAAAACGGATGGCACTCACTAGAAAAGTTACTTAAATTTTCGATTTACTCAGTTCTACCGTTTTTTTACATTTTTTGCTCGGCTCTGGAAACATTTAGAAAAATAATGTCTGCTGCCCGGCCGTCGTCGTCACTATAAGGGCTTTATGACGCTCTCAGCGGCTGGGGCTCTATAGTGTCGCCTGCCTCTGACCCTGGCAGGAAGGGTGGACAGTGCGTAGACGTCCCCCGGCCGAGCCTGGCTGAAACATTTCAAATTGAAACCTGGTCACACCAAAGCTGTTCAAGAGACAGTCGCGGAAATATATAATGACAATGCATCTAAATATATATATATATATATATATATATATATATATATATATATATATATATTAAACAGTCAAATTAATCAAAATTGTCGCAAACTGCAATTCATGGAGCCCGGTAACGGGAACAGAAAATATTATATCATGGCGCTAACATTAAATGTATTTATACACAAAATGATGTAAGCTGCGCAATGGGCAAAAAGCGCACACAAATGCAGGGCTCACCTGCTCACGTTCTAAACCGTCTGGAAACAGATGGCCTGAAAGTGGTGATAGCACGTGATGGCCATTGACGGGGAGCGTGCAAGAATAGTAGTTGTAGCTAGGGAACTAAGAATGTGGTATTCTAGTACGTGTATTACGATTCCATCTTAGTTTTTGCTTTTCACCTCAGAAATGGTCTTATATCCACAGGCTGCAGGCACGTAATGATACAATCACCTCCTAATCTGGCTTCGAAATCCAGGCACGGAAGCCAATGAATGTACTCGGCCACTATAGAGGAATATCGGTCTTTTGAAGTTCAACTAACATCGCAACAGCTTTGTAACGATGCGATCCTAATGATTTGATTTCACCTAGTAATGTGACCCGATGAAGTCGTCAGCAATGTTCACTTTACCACGATTCAGAGGATATTTTCCTTCACCGATATAACTAAGAGGCTTTATCAAATATTTTTACTGAGCCCTACAGAGAAATTGATGGCTCAGTTAACGAAGATTACGAATAAAGATGGGGCCAAAATTTGTACAAACATGGCCAGCCCAAGTTCTTCTGCAAACTTTGAATCTGCAGTCAGAAAGGATTAGTAACAAAAATAACGTAACATAGTTTTCAACACAAGCGTTTACAATGCTTGGAGACAAAACGCCCGGCGTTGGGTTGGCACCCAACGGCACGTTGCAGTCTCCGTAGGTCCCGCAGGATTGGCAGCGCGGCTAACACTGGGTGGTGGCCAACGGACGGGCGAAAATGATGACTCATCTGAAGGAGGCATCTTCAAACGCTTCATGAAATCAACTCAGACTTATCGAGAAACGGTGCGAAACGAGCTTTGACAGACTTTCGGGAGCATCATTACCGACGGTGGTTCTCGCTCGCCCGTCCTTCGCCGCCTGGTATTACCTGCAGCGGTCGAAGTGGTTCGGTTTTGCAGAAACTGCAGCCTTGGCCATCGCTGTTCTTGCTCCCATGAGGACGAGTACGTAGGATCAAAACATTTTTATGTAATTTCATTTATTAGTCAATGATGCAAAACGATGGACGCTCTGATGGAAGCATGGGTTATGCCTTTTTATTTGTTTTCACCACATTTAGATCGGCTTTATTAATCATCTACTTCATTCTTTTCCGTCAAATTCTATTACATCCACCATGTTACACTTGGATACACTATGGGCCGCATTTTCGTTCGCGGTCAAAGGCTGAAAGGTCACTCCGTACCAGCGCGGCCTGGTGTCTACTGACTGCCATTCTGACAGGGTCTCCTGGTCCATCCGGAGGTCCTTAGAGGGATTATTATGCATTGGTAAGACACTATAGTTAGGAGCTCCTGAAGACAGCTGACAGGGTAAGGCAGCTCCTGACGGCAGCTGACAGGGAAAGGCAGCTCCTGACGACACAGGAGCCCTCATTATCTCAGTGACCCAGGCCAATACAAAGCGCGGGCCGCGGTCTTTTCTTGGTTGGGAAATGCGCCCTCAGGGCGCAGACCAACATGGAGCCAACCATTAAGTGTAGTTGATCTCTGGGCAAAAAAGAGGTGCGCGTAGTCCCAAGAGGTTCTCAATCGGTGCAAGAGGCCGCCTCACACACTGCCTTGGTCGACTCGCGCCCCTCGCCTAGGGTCCGCTGTTAGGCACTGTGGGCACCAGGCCGACGCAGGGGAACCTCGTTGACCTAGTGGTCCGGACGAATGTAAACCACCTGTCCCGGTATTTGCTCTGTTTGAGAAGTGGGCCCTCAGGCCCAGACCGACACGAAGCCAAGTGTTCGGTACTGGAGGTGCCTGGCCGGCAAAGAGTCCCTCATCAGCTCAGGGAGTCTCCAATCGGCGCATAGGGCCCCCTGAATGATATTCGACGCCTTGGCATCTTATGTGACCCCCAACCGGCCTTCGGGGCCCACGGGTGCCCGAACTGTCAGGTCGGGGGTGAGGCCAGCAAGTATGTTGATGTCTTGTACCTTTAGTTCCCGGATATATGAATTACGCTTTGCAAGCGAAAGGTTCGTGCTTTCCTGTTCATGGCATTTTGTACAAATGCGTCCAGTTCTGCAAGCATCCTTCGAACACCTGCGCGCCCTTTCGTTTGGTGGCGCTACGTTACCTTCTAAAACAACCAAGTACAAAACAGGTCAATCAAGCTTATTTTAGTATCCCACTGCAGTATTTCCTGCGCTCGATCTCCGTTATTTCGATTAACTTGTAAAATCCTTGAAATGGTCCCGGGATCTGAATAAAATACAAAATTTTTTGATAAAAAGCATACTTTTGTCGTTCTTATCACCCTGAGTTTAAAAAAGGTTTTTGTGTGGACTATTCGTAGGAGCTAAAGCGATCTACATCATCACTATCCTCACTATAAAGCATTTCGCGCGCAATTTGTACCCGCCGTACTGCATTCCGTTGTTCTGGTTGTGGTGGCGTGGTTCGATCGTTCATTGTTCCTGCCTGCGAAGGATCGTTCCCGCGCATTTTGTTCCTGTGTGTGTGGGGGGGCCTTCGGTTGAAGTGGTCGGCGATCTGAAGGGGCCCACTCACTTGTAAATTCCGAAGCACTTTTCTACCGCATTATCTGGTTCGAGGGTTGCGCCGAGTTCAAGTTCTCCTCGTAGGTATTTCGCGGTAAGTGGGTACTAGACCGTTTGCACTGGCAGCACGTGAGACGGCAACAGACGTTCAGGTATGTTGAATGCAAGTGTAAAGAATGTGTGATATTTGCATGGCTCTTCTGTTTCAGTGATCTACGGGTGGAAAATGATACTGCGTGTCACGTTATTTATGCAATGTACTTATGATGTTGGTATCATTAATGTTTGCATCTAAACTACCCTATATGTATAATTTACCCTATATATTTTTGTTCCAATGATTGGTATCATAGAATATTGGTATCTTGGTGGGTGAAAATAAATATGCTTACAGAATGTAAGTGCCTATCTTTCTCTTTCAAACAATCTGCCCTATAAGTGCCTTGGTTTCTGGGGATGATGTATAAATATGTCATTAATCAGGATTGTTGCCTATGGGAGTTTAATATGCATTCTTATAGGCTGATTTTCCTTCCCCAATCAGCAGGTGCTGCCAGATTTGTGCTTAATGACTTAGTGGTTTTATGTCAAGTCCATTTTTTATCTAGTTATTTGTGTGCTATGTGATGAAACACAGAGGAATTGCACAGTTTGCTGGCAAAGAAACAGCTAGAAAAGGTACTGGTGGGCTGCACATTTAACCTGCACACAACACCCACATCTACACTGATCTGGTTGGACCTTTCATATCACCAGGCATCAGCCTACTTGGTGCTTCAAACTGCAGTCAGACTTATGCAGTAGCAGGCTTTGCTAAGTGAGAGCTCATGTAAAGTCCCTTTTGTCCCAAAGGCTGTACTCCCAAAACTTTCTTGTCCACTGAACTGATTTGGGTTGCAGAGGTGACAAATTACTGTGATGTGATTGTACTGATGGCATAGGGCCATTCTGGTAAGCATTGTTTGTGCATTTTATTTTGTGGATGTTTTAGCTGCCAAGCAACCCATTGTGTTTACCTGTGTGATGTGTATTGCCTTTTATATATTTGTATTATACTTTTTGCAGGCAGTTGACCAGGGAAGGATCACTTATGAAGGATATCATGTATTCCAAGATGTATGTCATCAAGAGAGGTAAGATCTCATCAACATTACATCTGCAACCCTTATGTAAGTGTGTTCATATTTGCAGTATGTCCACCACAAACTCAGAGCTTGCTGTCATATAATTGTTTAATTAAAGACATCTAGGTTGTGAATGGATGCTTCAATGTATTGCCACTTTTCAATGTGAAATTACCACAATAGTGATGCACCCTTAAACCTAAATCATCCCCTGTTTTTCAGATGGGAGGAGGGAGAATGTCATGTTTGACAAGATAACCAATCGCATCAACAAGCTCTGCTACAATTTGAACATGAATTATGTTGACCCTGTAAGTGAATGCTAAGATTTATGGTCAGAGTACATGTACTTCTTATTATCACTGGATTTTTTTTCAAGAATGAATACCAGTTACTTCCAATTGCATGTCATGTGACCTTGTCCTGCAGGCTTTTATATGACATCACAAGAAACTGGTGATATGTTGATGTACTCCTTTGTGTTGTCAATGTTTGGCATGTGCTTAATCTAAGGAAATGTGCACCTATTAATTTTCTGTCAACTTGACACCAAGGATTTTAGATTCATTGACTTGTGCACCAGTAATTCACAAGTGATCATAGCAAATGAAGTGGCATCATCTACTTGAGCATAAATGCTTTAAAATCAACAAAGATGTATGATCTGACCAGTTGTGTAAGTCAGGCATCACTGATTACATCTTCCCCTTCACTTCTGTATTTGTGTTTATTTCACATACATCAATCCTAGCACAGTGCTTTCAGGACATGTCATATAGAAGTAAAATGAATGACAACTTGAAGTAAACAAGTTAAGATCCTATGTTATGTGAACAATCCTCAAACACTTGTCACTACTGACCATCAAAGTTCATCTCTTGGGTGCATTTGTGCATGTACTTGATAGTTTGCCCCCCCCCCCCCCTAAATGGACAGACAGTATGTTATAAGTGAAAACACAAGCATGGATGAAAACTGGTGTTCAGGTGTTTTGTGAATTGCATCAGAATCTTTTCAAGGAAATGATAATGTGCTACAGTGTTTCAATATTTGGGCATTTGGGCTGAAAGAATGTCAATATTTGTTCATGGTATTATGCCCAAGTTGGGTTTCGCTGCCTGTTGCACCTCCCTGTGCCGAAAATCAGCCAATCAGGATCGAACCAGGTGGCAGTCATTCCAACACCTGAGCACCCCAGGCTTAACAAGTGGGCCGTCTGGTCAGATGTCTGGTGTCGTCGGAGGGTAACGGATTGGCGCCAACGATTTGGGTGCGGATTATGCTGGAGAGACGGGATTGTTGGAACATGGCATATTAACATCTTGCACACTATTCTAGAATACTGATGCGGTAGCACGGCCGCACAGATGTAGCGGCTTATCGGTACGAGGTCAGTCACTTTCAACAGTTTAATGTTTCCCGGAGGCTGAAAGTAGTGACACGACAAACTCTAACACAAGTTAGTCCCTATCTGCAAAGAATCTTGCGACATCAGACTAATTGCACATGTATGCTTTCCCGCAGCCTGCAATCACGCTGAAGGTGATAAGTGGGCTGTACCCGGGAGTGACGACTGTAGAACTGGACAACCTGGCCGCTGAGACGGCGGCCACCATGACCACAAAGCACCCGGACTATGCCATCCTCGCAGCCCGCATCGCCGTCGCCAACCTCCACAAGGAGACCAAGAAGACATTCAGCGGTACGTGCGCCGTGGTGTGGCAGTGAGACGGGGAGCACGTCCGGCGGTGCGCGTGCTGCGGTACTTCAGAAGTAGGAAGCAATGGCCCACGATTAGAGCACTGGTCTGTAGCGTGCATTTAACGGTCGCCGGTGATGGGTCCCAGAAGTCCCCTTCCAATTTCCCCAAATGGTTGTGAACGGATGTGCTCAAATAATGTGTCCTAGAACGAGGGGACGTCCATGGGATGTGAACAACATGCAACTACGGAAGCGTCCGTTCACTCGTCCTTATCTTGTTTGCAAAAAGGGAGACATTTACAAAGCTACGGAGAACTTTGGAAATTTATTGCACATTGTGTGTGTCCCTGGTAAATCACAATAAGTCGTGAAGTCATCTCACAGATACCGGCCGCCAAATTCCTACCTTACATAAGGCCTGATATAAGCGTTGCTGCAGAACATGAATTTAGATACGTGGAATATTTGCATTAAGGAGCTTCCACAAGGTTGATTTCCGGGCCCTCACGTCGATGTACATGCAAAGGCCTCGGAGGATTAACAAACAACGCAGATGAAGGTGGCACACCACACAATGGCATTCGTTCATCTCCTTGACAATAAGGTCAAGATTTTCCTAAAGGTAGCCCCATCCGCGACAGCTGACACCCGCACATCTTCAGGCATTAGGTTTCATTCACTAGATGTGCGAAACGTGAACGACCAGCGCCCAAGCTAAGTCCGGACGCATGACAGTTGCGGGATCTCGACGGCCGTTTCTGAAGTGTCATATGCACATCCCTTTTTCAGAGGTGATTGAGGACCTGTACAACATGACCAGTGAACACTCCGGCTTGAAGACGCCCATGATCTCTGACGAGCACTACAACATCATCATGGAGAACGCTGACATGCTGAATTCTCACATTATCTATGATCGGGACTACACGTACAACTATTTCGGATTCAAGGTTTGTGATCATTTTATCGAATGTTCTTGTATGTTTACCGTGACCGTTGACCTTATACTTGGCATGGCGTTCTCTTTTATCATGGCAATTCTTACCAGTCCTATTGTTTAAAAAGACGTATGCCGTCGGACCTTGTCACAATTCCCGAAGACTAGTTAAAACCGAACATTAGAAGGGATTTTCCACGATCAGATTCCTATTTCCATGAAAGGTGGTGCGTGGTCACGTGGTCGTGGTCCACGTTTTAAAGCGTGGTGGCTTTGCGAGCATTATGTGCATCTACTGTCAAAAGAAGAGGCGCCCAATGACCTAAGGGCGAATCCGGGTGTTTCATGACATTTCGGATTCCAGAGATTCCGATTCCACCTTCTGGGGATGATGTGTTAACACAAATTGCAATCAGCTTTTGGAGAACGTGCTGTGCGCCACTCTTTTCCTGTACCAGGCCGATCTTGCCTGGAATTAGTCACAGCGCTTTCGTATCAATGCTATCACATTAATATTCCGTGTAATGTGATGCATGTGAACTGCCAAGGTGGATTCCTGAGTGATTGGTGAGGGGGGTAATGATGGTGGTTGTCTCCACGGAAGCTGACTAAATGGTGTATCGTTATAGTGTAATCTGGCCAGTAAGTATTCGGAAAATTTGCTTGTAATAAGGCGTATTTGATACAAAACGCATTCGAATGTAGTGAGTGCGTGCGATTGGCGACACCAGCAATCTATTGTAACAATATAAGGTAACTATTAAGTGTATCAGAATCACTAATAATCAAAATGCAATTGAAATCATGCTATTAGGATTATTTATTGAATGTAATTAAAATTTGCTAAGATTGCAAGAGCCATGCATGGCGACCGCGCTAAGCAAGTCGAGTGCGGAGTCTCAACGAGCACCCATTCAGACAGCAGAGAGCTTATCAGGTGTCCCTGGGCAGACGTCGGGGCGCGTTCACACTGCAATTGATCTCTGTGTCTCACCGCTCACGGCTGCTTCCCAGACTTTGGAGCGCTCGTACCTGCTGAAGATCGGCGGCAAGGTGGTGGAGAGGCCACAGCACATGCTGATGCGCGTGGCCGTCGGCATCCACGGCTCCGACATCGAGTCGGCCATCGAGACGTACAACCTGCTGTCGGAGAAGTGGTTCACGCATGCGTCGCCCACGCTGTTCAACGCGGCCACAAGACGCCCCCAGCTCTCCAGGTGCCGACCCTTTCAGCCCCGCTGTTGCAGTGTGCATGCTAGGAAATGCTACCGTCATACGGCGTTTGAATTTGATGGGATGTTTATTGCGGCATTTATCATGTGTTATCGTGATCTGATGTGACATTTGTCAGCGACTGCAGCTGCCTTTGAAGGCTGGACTTTGTGCTGCATTCTGCTCCATGGTTTCCAACGCCTTATGGGCGTTTGCACGTATATGCCATGACGTCAACGTTGGTGCAGGCTTGTTCCGCTCGTCGGATCTCGCACCACGCCGGCGGCGACCGTCTAACCGCCGTTCCGCTGTCTCCGGCAGCTGCTTCCTGCTGACCATGGCCGATGATTCGATCGAGGGCATCTACGACACGCTGAAGCAGTGCGCCCTCATCTCGAAGTCAGCCGGCGGCATCGGCCTCAACGTGCACTGCATCCGCGCCCAGGGCAGCTACATCAGCGGCACCAACGGCACCAGCAACGGCCTGGTGCCAATGCTGCGCGTCTACAACAACACCGCCCGCTACGTCGACCAGGGCGGCAACAAGGTGCGACACGCGCTGGGGTGCGCCTCGCTCGGGCCTGTGTTCCGCTGTGCTAGTCATTACTTCGGGCTGCGCGGTGATGGGCAGCGATGCCTCAGCGCGGCACAGATGCGGCAGCCGCCGCGCGACCGCCGCACGTCGTCTTGCGCTGCGTCGTATTTGGACACCTACGTTACATCTTGGCAAGCCGTATCCAGTCGCGTGAAAGCGCGCTTGTGGAACGGCGCTTTGTGTTGGGTCATGTTCAGTGTGGAAGGGTCTGGGATTTTCGGCGACTTGCACCGCCAGTGACAGGCCTGGTCTGTGCCGTGCACCGCCAGAGCACAGGCCGACCCCAGACCGTCACACGTCCACCCGCAGCGTCCCGGCGCGTTCGCCATCTACCTGGAGCCGTGGCACGCGGACATCTTCGACTTCCTGGACATGCGGAAGAACACTGGCAAGGAGGAGAACCGCGCCCGGGATCTGTTCTACGGCCTGTGGATCCCAGACCTGTTCATGAAGCGCGTCGAGTCGGACGGCGTGTGGAGCCTCATGTGCCCGCACGACTGTCCCGGCATGTCCGACTGCTGGGGCGACGAGTTCGAGAAGCTGTACACCAAGTAAGCTGGTGCTCTCCCTGTTCACAACATTAATGTAGATGTTGCCCTTTTTCCAAGTGTGGCCAAGTGTGTTGCAGGGGGAATGTGGGATCGGAGCTCATGTCTGTTGTAAAACCTGGAATTGCCGGAAGGTTAGAGCGTCGGACTCCCACGTGAGAGCACGGGGCCAAATCCCGGTTGCGCCGTGGTCCCTGGACGCTGATATGACCAATGTTGGCGTCCATAAAAAGAGCGTATCAGTGTATGTCGCGTTCTCTTTTTTAAACCATGCTCTCGCCCTTGACTCGCAGGAAGTTCCAGGGAAAACATTTAGAATGGTGCAGAGGGAACTTGTGATATCCTAAACTGAAAAGATCGCTGCGGTAATTCTCAGTTGTGTTGGTCATGGTGGGACAACTGCACATATTGGGTAGTGTTTAATCTTGCATCAGGGGAGACTTTGATGTTTAAGCGGGCTTGTTTTCTTGGCGTTGGGGCTGTGATGGCCTGTAATTGCCAGTATTTTTAGGACTGTTAAAAACTATGGCGTGCGACAATCAGTAACTAATGTTTTGTACGCGTTTTCGATAGTCCTGATATTTTCAATGAACATAGTCTATAAAGCTAAGCTGCGCTCCAAAATAACCCAAGACTCATTAAATGCGTGTATTCGACAATTGGCCACGTCCCTTGGTTGGTGTCCGTCATTCAATGCTCTGAATGGCAACCTTTGATTGCCGTAGTCGTTCTGTGCTGCGCTGTTCCCCGTCCGCACGGTTTTGTTTCGCCGCCCTGCTCCCATATGTATGTGGTTGTGTTATCTTGCGCTCCGTTCATGCGTGGCGCGGCTGACCTGTTGCGGCCGCCCGCCAGGTACGAGGCCGAGGGGCGCTTCCGGAAGCAGGTGCGCGCGCAGGATCTGTGGGCGGCCATCATTCAGTCCCAGGTGGAGACTGGTACGCCTTACATGCTGTACAAGGACGCCTGCAACGGCAAGTCCAACCAGCAGAACCTGGGCACCATCAAGTGCAGCAACCTCTGCACCGAGATCGTCGAGTACTCTGCGCCCGACGAGGTCAGGATGGGTCCTGGCGCGGTGTCAGTGGCAGAATTTGACGCCCAGCCGTCCGAGGGCGGAATTCAGCCGCTGCTCCGCTCGTTTGCGTAACGACGTGAAGCGAAACTGCTCTGCTATGGTTGATTGTGTAACATACGGCGTTTCAAGTGCTTGGTGATACAGGACAAATAGCTGAGCCGTTGCGCCCAAATGCTCTAGACACCATCGTCCATTGGTTGTGCAGCTCCCATGGTCTGCGGCGCCGCACCCAGGTCGGGTCGCTAGTTCGGGTTTAGTCTCAGACACATAGTTTACTTCTGCGCTGATCGGCCACCTCATCGCGGTCTCATTCCGCGCGCCGCAGGTGGCGGTCTGCAACCTGGCATCCATCGCTCTGAACCGCTTCGTCACCGACGACAAGACGTACAACTTCGAGAAGCTGAAGGAGGTGGCCAAGGTGGTGACGCGCAACCTCAACAAGATCATCGACATCAACTTCTACCCGGTGCCGGAGGTGAGGGCGCGTGCCGCAGTCGTCGACAGCACCCTGCGGCGGCGCCGGTCGTCTGGCGCTGAAACGGTGCCGGGGCCTTGTGACAGTTGTCGCGGCGCCTATGTCCGTCCGAAGGAAGCCGCCTGCTCCTTCTGTATATGGCGCTGGTTCCGAGTATAGGGCGTTAGTTTCTCGGTTATGTCCCTGTTCTCCAGTGTCAGTTTCCACGAGTTGAACAGCCGTGGCAGTTCGCTGCCGTCTAACTGATCGCGTGCTCACCTGTCGGCTCCTGATGCAGCTCAGGCCGCGCGGCGCCATCTGACCAGCGTGCAGGGGCCGGCCGCCCTGTCCCGTCTCGTTGGGCCCCTTGTACCGCCCGTTTGCCGCGTCCGTATCAGCGCATGTATCGCCCGTCTGCCCGTGTCCTCGCCAGTCGCGTGTACCGCCCGTTTGTCCATGTCCACATCAGCCGCGTGTACCACCAGTTTGCCGTGTCCACATCAGCCGCGTGTGCCGGCCGTTTGCCCATGTCCACATCAACCGCGTGTACCGCCAGTTTGCCGTGTCCACATCAGCCGCGTGTGCCGGCCGTTTGCCCGTGTCCATATCAGCCACGTGTACCGCCCGTTTGCCGTGTCCGCACCAGCCGCGTGTGCCGGCCGTTTGCCCATGTCCACATCAGTCGCCTGTACCGCCCGTTTAGCGTGTCCACATCATCCGCGTTGCCGCCCGCCGCCACGTGTTTCGGTCAGCGGCCGGTCACAGCTCGGCCTCCCGGTCCGCCAGGCTCGGCGCTCCAACATGCGGCACCGGCCGATCGGCATCGGCGTCCAGGGCCTGGCCGACGCCTTCATCCTCATGCGGTACCCGTTCGACTCGGAGAAGGCCGAGATGCTCAACCGACAGATCTTCGAGACCATCTACTACGGCGCGCTGGAGGCGTCGTGCGAGCTGGCCGAGCGGCTGGGCCCCTACGAGACGTACCCGGGCTCGCCGGTCAGCAGAGGGGTGAGTGCGGGCCCGCCCGGCACCGCCGGCCGCCGTGGACGGCGACACTCCGCCTGAGCAGAGTTGAGGTGAACCGATCCTCATGCTCTTGCACTGACGCGTTGTTGCGTCTTGAACCGGACAGCGATCTGTCATTTATAGCACGTATCATTTTGTAGTAACCTAAATATATACTGATTTATACCTGGATGGAGAGAATCGTGTAGGAAGAAGAAAAATTCTGCCGAGCACTGTGCGACGACTTATCTTTGCGTATCTCGTTTTGTTTTGTTTTTAATCGACATTATACCCATGGGTTCGTGATGCAGGGCCCCATCGAGTAGTCATGTGCTCACAACACTTTGGAAATGCATCTCGCACCTTTTTACCGGATCTGGTAGCCCCGCGTCGTATGCACAGTGTTTGCCATGTTTGAAGTGTACGGCCAAACCCATAATGAGGGCAACTGTAACTTGTATTGTGCGTGTACGTACGAGGGATTAATGTTTTACCTTCTGCAATAACATGTCAAAGATCAGGGAAGTCTTGTCGGGAACATGTTATGAGAGCGATTCCTGGTTGCGTCTATCCAACCGCAGCGTCATTGTTGGTAACGAAAGCACGACGTCCGCGCCCGCTGCGGCGACATCGCCGGCGGGAATCCATGCTGACCTGTCCAGTGGACCGGCAGATCCTGCAGTACGACATGTGGAAGGTGACACCGACGTCGCTCTGGGACTGGTCGTCGCTGAAGGCGCGCATCGCGCAGCACGGCGTGCGCAACTCGCTGCTGCTGGCGCCGATGCCGACCGCCTCCACCGCCCAGATCCTGGGCAACAACGAGTCGATCGAGGCGTACACCAGCAACATCTACAGCAGGCGCGTCCTCTCCGGCGAGTTCCAGGTGCGTGACCGCGGCCGCACCGCTCCATGCTGGCAAGTTTGCCGTCGGGATCTGGTGGGATTTGGATTGTTCAGGTTTGGTGGAGATGGGGTCCTCAGGATTCTGCTGTTAAAAGCGCGCCGAAATTTACCGAGATAATGCGCGCTTCCCCCGCCCACGCTCCCTTCTTCCCTCCGCCGCCAGCAGAGCTCATGTGTGCGCTGCTTCACCTCACCTTACCCCACCTCACCTCTCCCTCACCTCACCTCGCCTTATCCCGTCCCATCTCACCCAAACTCCTCACTTCACCCTATCTCACCTCACCTCCCCCACCTCTCCCCCTCACCTCACCCACCGCACCTCGCCTCACCCACCTCACCTCGCCTCACCCACCTTACCTCGTCTACCTCACCTCACCTCAACTCACCACCCCACCTCACCTCACCCCTTCACCTCGCATCGCCGAGTATGTGCGGCCTCTTTACTGGACCGTCCTGTTCCAGATCGTGAACCATCACCTGATGCGTGACCTGACAGAGATGAACCTCTGGGACGAGGACATGAAGAACCAGATGATCGCGGCCGGCGGGTCCGTGCAGGTCAGTGACCCGACGCTTGGTGACCCAGAGCGGGACCCACGTAGAGGACAAGCTGAAGACAAACTGAGAAAGGCTGGCAACAAATGATTCAGTGACTGAGGAAGGTGCATGCGGTGGAATGACGTCAAGGTGGGCGAAAAAGAGTAATTTGCTCAATGGTTCTCAAGATTGAAGATAATAATGGTCAGTGATTTAGAAGAACTCATTGTCGCCTGCAACAGCGCTTCGACTACCAACACTCGCCGTTGCGGACAAGGGACAGCAGGTAGCATGTACCAATGTTGCAATGTATTATAATTGTTTACCTACAGCAACGTAATTAATTGTATAACTACTGAAACGTTATGTAATCGTATACGTACTGCAACGTAATATAATTATGCACTTGTTGCAACGAATTATTATTGTATGCCTGAGCTTGTGGATTGCCTTGGTACTTTTTCGCTATCTGCGGTTCCGACCGTTCGGAAGTCCGCTCTGTCGCGCTCCCTGCCGCGCGACGGACCATCTCAGCCAGACCTCCCCGGCAGGCGATCGAGGGCATCCCGCAGGAGCTGAAGGACCTGTACAAGACGGTGTGGGAGCTGTCTCAGAAGGTGGTGATCAAGATGGCGGCCGACCGCGGCGCGTTCATCGACCAGTCGCAGAGCCTCAACGTGCACATCGCCAGCCCCAACTTCGGCAAGCTCACCTCCATGCACTTCTACGCGTGGAAGCTGGGCCTGAAGACGGGCATGTACTACCTGCGCACCAAGGCGGCCGCGTCGGCCATCCAGTTCACCGTGGACAAGACGCGACTGACGCAGACGCAGAAGGCGCCCGTCGACAGCGAGACTCCCGCAGAGAAGGTGGGCGGGCCGCAATAGGAACCCTGGAGGCGAGCTCAGTCCGCACCATCCAACTGCAGGGAGGGTGGAGCCCCGGGATGGCACTCAACGGATCGGGCGGGAACGCGTATAGGTGGCATTGGAAGCACGTCTGCGGCCGAGCTCAACATCATCAAACGTTGGCGCCCTCTTGGTCGGCACGTGCGGTGACGCGGTCAGGCTGTATGTTGCACTTCGGCTTTGTGGAGGAAAAGATCGGTGCGCGTGTAACGTATATCACGTCACGAGCCGTTCCCGGGCCGTATTTATCCTTATATATCCTTGCGCGAGCCGTTCCCCTCGGATGGCATCGGGAGATCCACTTCGCGTACAGCGGAGACCGTCTTGATTGCTTCTGGTAGCATGACAACATGACAACGAAGTATCGCATCGGTGGGGGGGGGGGGGGGGGGGAGGCTGCGAGCATGACTCATTTTGGAGGGCGTTCACCGCTTTTCGTATGCGCAGTCGTGGGCCATGCTCATAGCTTTCGGCAAAGAATTCGTTGTCCCTCCGTGACAGGTAGTGTGTCGACGAGTATGTGTCGGGTCTCTGTCCATTTGGGGAGAAACCACATGAATAACGAAAAGTGATCGAAAGTGGGTTTGGTTTTAGGTGCATGGATGTCAGGGACGTTTTCGTGCGTGATCAAAACATGGGGCTTTGACTGTATGTGTCTTCCTGGGGAGCTTAACTGGTCGTTAAAGCCACCTGCCTCCTCAGACAAAGTCGCCGGAGAAGAGCGAAGAGGAGGCGTACAACCTGGCCGCCATGTCGTGCTCGCTGCAGAACCGCGACGACTGCCTGATGTGCGGTTCGTAGCTCGAGCCAGCGACCGGCTCGCCCCGCCCCGCGCGCTCCCCCGAGGCGGCAGGGCCACTCCTCCCCAGGCGCCTGGGCTCCACGCGGCGCGCGGCGCCACGGACAGCCCACCTGATGAAATGTGAAACGCCGCCAGCTGTTTGCGTGTGCAGGTTTGCTGCCGCCCTTGTGATGCTTCCGTGAGACGTTTATGTGAAGCTTTCGTGAGACCTTGATGTGAAGCTTGTCAGCGGTGTCCCCAGTGAGTGGTGCCGAGAAGGCCAAGTCAGTGAGACATGCCTGGCAATGTGCTTCCTAGTCCGCTCCCCGCGTTCTCCATTCAAGTACATGGTGTTGCTTGTTCACCCGCTGTGCTTCACTGAAATACATTGCTTCAAGCACGTGCATTGGTCTGCGAGCTCAAGTGATGATGGCGGCCTCGCTGTTCCGTTGTAAGCGGCGCCTGACCTTACGACGACGAGCTCTGAGCTAGTAGGAGATACAGGGGCATGAATCTGCGAACAGGATAAAACTGTGTGGTTGCACATCGATCCGGCCGTGGTATTTCCAGACATGCGGTACGTCGTGTGGGCGCAGCTGGTCCATATTGGCGGAAGTATGGTGATGTAAGCCCCTGGCTAAGACCCGTCCAAAGCACAGCTTCACCTGCACAACACGCATATATTGGTCCTCAGTTTTGAAACGGCACGCCCCGGCACCACGAGAGCACCCGCACGGCCAAGTGTTCGCGGACGGAAACAGCGTCACGACTTCCCGGGACGTCTTCACTGGCGTGACCCTTCGTCACTGACGTTATCTCTGGCGCGTTCCGTCATCACTAACGTCACCTCTGGGGCGTCCCCTCGGCACTGACGTCACTTCCCTGGTGCGGTGTCTCGTCACTGATGTCGGCTCTCCTCGCGTAGTTGGTGACGGTTCACCCGCTGGCCGCCGGCGCCGCGGGACCAGGCCTTACTGGCCCCGCGGGACCGGGCCTTACTGGCCCCCTCCGGAGCCGGCCGCCATCCCGCCATCCTCCGTCACCGCCGCTTCTCGTCTCTGTAAACGAGCCACGGCAGGGCCGGTCAGCAGAGGCGTGCTTTCATGGAGACACCAGATTATGAACTGGCCACACGCACGCAACATATCGCTTCCTTTTGTGCGGTGGAGAACGGCCTAAATGTTCTCGTTGTGACGCGCTACTTAGGGTTCGCCGTGATGTTCACTCTTGCCCACGTTTCAACGAAGAGCGGACACTTTACTTCGGACGAAATGCGTCAGGTCTTACCTTTTCAGACCTTATTGGTGACGGTTCTCGCTTGTTTGGCACCGGACAGCTGTTTTCATCTTTGGGAACCGTGAGGTTTACAGCCATTTATACATATCGGTGGCTACTTAGCTGTTATGGGCACAAAATGACCCCAGAAGTCGGCGCGCCCTAAAACCCGATTCATCATGGAGACACCGGAGCGCAACGTCTGCAGCAACAGATCTGACCAAAGCGGTATGGATGCCCTGTGCTGAGCGATGCAAACAGATCGGAACCGGGCTGGCGGACGCCGCCACTGGCCGGTTGCAATATCGTCCTCGCCTCCGCAACGAGAGTCGCATAAGCCCTCGGCAGTAATAGGGAGTAGCCGGCAGCAGCGAGCCAGCTGGCCTGCCAGTGCCGCAGAAGTTCCTCTGTGGGCGGCGCCCGCCACCGTCCGCGCACCGCCAGTCGGCCGGTTACGTCACCCCGACCACTGGCACGGCTGGCAGGACTAATCCGCTTACTCGCTGTCGCCCTCCGACGACAGGTGCATAAACACCTCCATCAGCTTGGGTTGCACGAGGTCGCACGCCTTCTGCGCCCTCTCCTCCGGGCAGAAGCTCAGAATCCGTCGCAGAGACGTCTGAAACACACAGCCATGGGCATACTGATGTGGTGCCCAGCTCGTGGGGAGACACCCACTCCCCTGTGGCCAGCAGGTGGCACTGCTGTATTTCCTGCACAAGGAAGTGCTCTGGGCGGACTACTGGACACGTTATCCTCCCGCTACTAATCCTTTTTCCTCGGATCGATCAATCACACTCTTTCGCATGAGCGAGTTTCAGATTCCTGCACCGCAATTTCCAGGTAATACTCACCCGCTACGAGAGCATCAAACCCCAACACACCAGAGACGCTGCGAAAACACTCCGACTTACCTGAAAGAAGCATAAAGCACCTAACTTACCAGAAACGCCGCTAAAACACCCCAACACGTCAGATGGTCATCGGCAAATGCCAAGATACCAAACGGCCATAATCACGCCCGACATCCCAGACGACCATCAGCACGCCCGTCACACCAGACAGACATCATCACGCCTGTCTATCATAACGCCCCGACAAACCAGACGACTATCACCACGCCCTGGCGTACCAGACACGCCACGAGCACGCCGTCGTCTCTGCCGCGTAGCTCCGGCTCACGGCAGAGCCGCTCCAGCCGGGTAGTTGCGCCAGCTGACACCAGGTGGCAGGCCGTGCGCCGGTCGACGCACAGCCGTGTGAGCGCCACAGCCGTCTTCTGCTGGAGTCGGCGGTAGGCGGCCTGCGTGCTGTCCGGCCACCGCTGGTCGGCCGTCACCTGCAGGTATTGCACCAGAGCCGGCACGGCCAGCCGCCGCAGTCTGCTGTCGCCGCCGCTCGCTGCGTTGGCCAGCACGGTGGCCACCTGACGCAGGAGGAGGCCCCTGAGTGGGCGGCGCGCGGACAGGGAGCGGCACAGCGGGGGAGCACGAGCGGACAAGGAGACGCAGGCGCAGCCCGCGGGCAGGCAACGGCACCGCGGGGGAGCACGAGCGAATGAGGAGACGCAAGCGTGGCGTGCGAACAGGGAGCGGCACAGCGCGGGCGCCCGAGCGGACAAGGAGACGCAGGCGCAGCCCGCGGGCAGGCAACGGTACTGCGGGGGAGCACGAGCCAGTGGGGAGACGCAGGCGTGGTGTACGGACAGGGAGCGGCACAGCGGGGGCGCACGAGCGGACAAGGAGACGCAGGCGCAGCCCGCGGTCAGGCAACGGCACCGCGAGGGAGCACGAGCGAATGAGGAGACGCAGGCGTGACGTGCGGACAGGTAGCGACACAGCGGGGGGCACGAGTAGACGAGGAGACGCAGGCGCGGTCAGCGGACAGGTAGTGATACAGCAGGGAAACACGAGCAGACGAGGGGACGCAGGCGCGGCTGCTGAACCGCACGGCTGCGCACCAGCAGGCTCATCAGTCAGTAGCTCATTGGCCCGGGAGGTTACAAATCCAACAGAAGACGGCCCCCGCCGCTACTCAATCTCTCATGGCACGGCACCTTCATGGTACGTTCCCATCCAAAACATTGGCATGACACCTTCCCATCTACCACCTCCTCCGTAAAACATGGATTCTTGTGACTGCAGACCAGTGGCTGCTGAGCGTGTCGGTGAGAATGTCTCACGGTCCGCAGGTCACGCCGTAGCCCGGCTGCTCGGCAGTTGGCGACCGGCCCCTGCCCGGTGCTGCACCTGATCCAGGATGAAGACGTTGTTGGGGAATCGTTCGGCAGCCGCGACGAGCTTCTCCGGCGAGCTGCGAGACGTCAGCTGCGGCAGGACTTGGCGCTCGATGAAGGTCAGGTTGGCCAGGCCGGCGGCCGACAGCAGCAGCACCTCCTCACCGGCTGCCTCCTCGGCCATATCTGCCGCAGGCGCTCGGTCAGTATCGGCTGTCTCGTCGGCCATGTTTGTCGCAGGTGCGCGGTCGGGCTTGCGAAGGAAGAGGCCTATCAATGATTTTACGAGCTTACATCAGCTTACAACATACGCATATTCGTCAGCACGCTTAAAACTGCTATTTGCCTGTTAAAACATGTGCGTTGGCGTCTGGCTTTTGTGTACATTTCAATATAAAAAGGCTGCTTTACGGCCACTCTGAACCAGCGCCATGTGTCTGCAACTGGACCGCACTAGCCTGTCCAGAAGTATCCATTGTGCCAGTGAATGACCGCAGCTCATACTTCACCTGTGAGCGCTTGTACGACGCCCGGCAGGTGGCACGTGAGTCCGTGGACCTTGTGATTAGCGGTCAGCCAGGGTGCTGTCATCTGCGCCAATACCGCAGCAGCCTCGTGCCGCACCCCCACCGGCAGCGATGGGTCACAGAGCAGCTGGCAGACAAGGTCAACCCCGCCCTCCTGCAGCGGAACGCAGAGGTGACAGAGCAGGCAACAGACGTGGTCAATGAGACAACGAATGCATATGGTGGACAAGGGAAATCAACCCAGCTCTCATGAGGCAGTTGATGACCGAGATCTACCTCGCCCTTCTGCAGCGGGCACACAACACGGGGTAAGTAGGCCCCGTCCTTTGGCGGACAAAACATAGGTCATATCCCAGCTAGAAGAAGGTCAACCGCACTCCCCCGCGGTGAAACACGAAGCTCAAGCCAGTAAACATCTCAGTCTCGGTGTCGGCACGGGCCCAGGAGTTCTGCACGCCCTCCGTTCAACATGTCCCCAGCACGCACCTCCTCCATGGCACGGACGCACGGCACGGCGCAGCAGACGGCCGAGAGGGCGCGCAGCACGTGCAGCCGCAACGGCGCGAAGTGCGCGTCCGTGGCGAGCTGCAGCAGCTGGCGCACGCCGCCCAGCCGGCAGAAGAGGCCGCTCAGGTGGCAGCCCTGCGCGCCAACCGACGTCACGGCCGCCAGTGCGGCGCGCGCGCAGCTCAGCACGTGCGGCGGCCGCAGCGCCTCGGTGAGCAGGCGTAGCTGCTGGGTCAGCATGCGGTCCACGCGCTGCGTGATGGCGCCGCCGAGCGCCGTGACGGCGGCCACCAGCTGCGGCGGCCCGGCGGCGGCCAGCAGCTCGGCGCCGGCCGCTGCCACGGCGCTGGCCGCCGGCTCCGGGTCGGCCGCCAGCAGCGGGCGCAGCTGGCGGCAGCGGGCGGCGGCCAGCGGCGGCCGGTAGGCGGCGCTCAGTCGGTCGGCGCGCGCCACCAGCCGCTCCACCTCACAGCGCAGCTCGCTAGCCGGCAGCGTCTCCAGCCGCCTGGGGGCGCAGGACGGTGTGACAGGGTTAGTGTCTCCAGCCGCCTGGGGGCGCAGGACGGTGTGACAGGGTTAGTGTCTCCAGCCGCCTGGGGGCGCAGGACGGTGTGACAGGGTTAGTGTCTCCAGCCGTCTGGGGGCGCAGGACGGTGTGACAGGGTTAGTGTCTCCAGCCGCCTGGGGGCGCAGGACGGTGTGACAGGGTTAGTGTCTCCAGCCGCCTGGGGGCGCAGGACGGTGTGACAGGGTTAGCGTCTCCAGCCGCCTGGGGACGCAGGACGGTGTGACAGGGTTAGTGTTTCCAGCCGTCTGGGGGCGCAGGACGGTGTGACAGGGTTAGTGTCTCCAGCCGCCTGGGGGCGCAGGACGGTGTGACAGGGTTAGTGTCTCCAGCCGCCTGGGGGCGCAGGGCGGTGTGACAGGGTTAGTGTCTCCAGCCGTCTGGGGGCACAGGACAGTGGAGCGGGGTTAGTGTTTCCAGCCGTCTGGGGAGCACCAGAGGCAGTACGTCCGAGATCTGGTGCGATCTAGGGAACAGCTGGACCAGAGTGTCTTCAGATGTCTGGGGCAGGAAGAAGGCCAATAACTTTAGACATCTGGGTTAGGAGCAGGGTCGTTATCTTCAAACGTCGAGGGGAGGAGCAGGGTCGTTATCTTCAAACGTCGAGGGGAAGGGCAGCGTCAGTATCTCCAGACTTATGGGGTAGGAGCAGGTTCTGTATCTTCAGACGTCTGGGGGAGGAGCAGGTTAAATACCTTCAGACATCTGGGGGGGGGGGAGGCAGGTTCAGTATCTTCATACGTCTGGGGTAGGAGCAGGGTCGGTATCTTCAGACATCTGGGGAAGGAGCAGGGTCGGTATCTTCAGACATCTGGGGGGGGGGGGGGGAGCAGGGTCGGTATCTTCAGACATTTGGGGAGGAGCAGGGTCGATATTTTCAGACGGCTGAGAAGCAGGACGGTCAGTGTCCACATCAATCTGGAGAGGCGTAGCGTCAACAACAGGCTGGCTGCTCTCCCAAAGATGAAAACACGGAAGAAGAAAGCGTTTTCTGCGCTTTCAGGCCACGAACACACCGCAAGAAGGGAATCATCTAACATTCAGCGGGAGGATTGCTTTTTTAAGCGATGCCGTAAGGAAGTCCAAAATTGCCGATGAAGTCCCCTGATCATTTGTTTCAAGCGCCGTCCAAGATAAGTAATATTATTGGTAGCTTATGCTGACCTAGCATGAGGTCAACGCAACCTGGCGTGGTGTCGACGTCGTGCAGAGCTGGGCAGAGCTGTGTCGCGGGTGTCATCACTTTCAAAAAATACCAGGGCGACGAACAAGCCCTCAAATTCAGTGTCTACGGTACCACAAAAGACGTTATTTTGTTACGGCCACTCTTGGCCTGGTCCGCCACATTTTGACACAGATGGTTCTGATACGCCTTTATTGGCACTGAACTCTTCATGTCACTGGCGCCGTTAACCCAGCATTTATGTAAGAAAGAATAAAAGGGGCATGAAATGTCTCCAGGAACTCGCGCTGTATCCACCTTCAAAGCTCCTGACGCAGTAAGGTCGGCGGTTAGGCTGGAAAGTCTAACGGGAGCGTACAATGTTCTGCGTTGTATCTCACCGTGCCATTCAGAAACATGCTGAAAGTAAAGTCGGCCAAACAACACGCTAGAACGTTTGCAGTGCTGTGTAGTTTCCCAGATGACGCAATGTGCGAAAAGCTTCTGACGGGCTATGGCCTAACGGGAACGTCAGCCCATTTTCCCCGCAGCAGGGCAGCGTGTAGTAATGAGAACAGGAACATGTTCGGGGTTATTGGCCTTTGTAATGATCGGCAGTCGATAATGGTGTTGTTAATGAGATCCATTTTAATTATTCGGTGCGATTTGGCGTCGGTGTTGTGTGGTTAGACTCACGGTGGCCTTGGAGATTTATTTTTGTAATAGCTGAATAGGCTGTTCGGCTATACTTGCGCTTCTTAATGACTGAATATAATAGCTGAATACTGGTAGCCAGACATGTGCCTGGTTCTCAAGATTTCTTCTCGGTGTGCAGCTCTTGGTTCCTGGTTCTGGGATTCGCAAATACCCGTAAACTGAATTGTAAAACAAACGGGAAATTCAGCAAGACCGGGATCCAGCACTTAACTCTCCCCAGGGAACCAATGAGAATGATCTGACGCTGAACTGGGAAGATTCGGCGAAATCAAGATCAGGCCTACAGTAGGCATAGGGATCGAGCGAGAAAGAAGACCAAGACTGGAATAATGCAGAGTATCCAGCAAGAACTAAAACCCAGCCTGGAATATGGCCAGAGATGCAGCAAGAACCGGAGTCCGGCGCGGAGCATGATCAGGGATTCAGCAAGACTCTAGACCAAGATCCAGTTTGAAATTTATGCCGAAGATCCAGCAACCAGCAACCACCAAATTCGGCATAGCTTCACGAAAAACACCAGGAGCCAGGACCTTACCTGAAATATAACACACTACAGCCAGGGTTTATTCCATGTGTAGCACGTGGTGCACGCATGGTGGATGAGTAATTATTACGGAATCGATGCGAGATATTTTCATTTCAATCACTATATCTGTTCAACAGCGAAGAACCGCGGAGAAACCAGGCTCTAATCGATGCAAAAGAACCAATGACGGCCAGGGACCAGCTTCTTGTGTTTGTGAAAAAGCAACCCGAACTTGTGACCTGTCCTGCAGATCTTGGTGCGTGTGAAAAAGTGATGGGAACCAGGAACCGGGGTCCGGTGTTCGTGAAGGAAGCAATGGAAGCTTGGATCAGCGTCTTGTTTCTGCAAAAGGACTGGTGGAAACCGCGAACCAGCGCCGGGTGCAAACCAGCCGCTGGGATCCAGAAGCCAAATGATAGTATTCAAGAAAATAAGAAAAAACAGCGGGAGTTCTGATCAACGGTGTCGTTTTATGCAGTGGCAAGTGGGAACCAGGAACCAGTACTGGCGTCCAGGTGTGGACTTGCATGTCCGAACCTGCGACACATACACTGGTTGTCTACTACTGGATGCAATGTATCGTCCGCACGCACGACAGCTGAAATAAACTGTGACAGAGATGAGGTCTGACCTGCAGTATTACTCACACCTTTAAGTGCATAGCACAACAAATCGTTTCATTTAACAATCTGGTCTGCGAGCAGCTAAGTCAATTTTGAGTTTGTGATGTAGCGGTAGCTGGTATCGATCTCTGTGGACACGGGGTCGTTCTGTGTGGTGCTGCAAGCCTGAACCAGCGCCCGTGGCCGCGTGCATGACGGCCACGGCTCACATACGTGCAGGAACCCGGAAAGGGGGGAGGGCGGCGGCGGCCATTATCCCGACTTTCATGAAAGCGGAGCGTAGTTGCGCATGCAGCAAGTCAACTTCAAAATGCTTTTCGGTTATCCAACTGTTGAAATTCTCCTGCACACCTACCTGGTGATAAAGCCAGCCACTACGACACCAGTGAGCGGGCGAAGCAGTCAACCTCATCAAGGGCCATGGTGCGGGGCCTCAACCAACGTCATACGCTGTCTCACAGTGCTAAGAGCCCCGCCCGGGCTCAAACGTTCCTGACGTCGTGGCAACCCACAGCAAGTGATATGAGGCGCTCGGCTGGCCGAATAGCATCGACAGTGAAGGTAAGTAGGAAAACCTCCATTTTGCATCTCGTTTACCGCCTTGTTTGCTCGTGTGCCCGTGATTGGTCGGAGATGTGACGGCTGACTTCGCCATCGCCAGTCAAATGGGGCGCGCGCGACCGCTACGGGTCCTGTCACGTGGAGGACGGTCCCTGCCACATCGAGCTCGGGCCCTGCCACGTGGAGGACGGGCCCTGCCACGCGGAGGACAGGCCCTGCCACGCCGAGCTCGAGCCCTGCCACGCGGAGGACGAACCCTGCCACGCCGAGCTCGGGTCCTGCCACGCGGAGGACAAACCCTGCCACGCCGAGCTCGGGTCCTGCCACGCGGAGGACGAACCCTGCCACGCCGAGCTCGGGCCCTGCCACGCGGAGGACAAACCCTGCCACGCCGAGCTCGGGCCCTGCCACGCGGAGGACGAACCCTGCCACGCCGAGCTCGGGCCCTGCCACGCGGAGGACGGGCCCTGCCATACCGAGCTCGGGCCCTGCCACGCGGAGGACGGGCCCTGCCATACCGAGCTCGGGCCCTGCCACGCGAGGAAGGACGCCGTCCAGCCGCGATCGGCGCTGATACAGGCCGAGCCGGCCCGTTTTTGCAGTCATTAGACGCCGGACGCCGTTGTTCGCCCGGGCCGCCGCTCTATCAGACAAGACATCAGCGGCGGTGTGCCATCCGCTGTCTGCACCGATCGTGGGCTGTAGACAGATCGACCGACGATACAAGGACACCCGAGTAATCCGACGGGCGTTTGATGCATCCTTTGTGCCTACTAACATTATGATGCATTATGTCCCCGACGCAATCACCACATTTGCGGTTTTCTTCAACCTGCCAAGTTGGCGAGAGGGTAACACCACCACCTGTTGATAAAGCCAGTGACAAATTCAAGCTCCTTCCCCATCTAGCATCTTTAAAGGTGAGAGCCAAACGTACTTGCTAAACTTTCAGAAGATATTTGACGGTTCAAACCCTGGCGAGCAATATTTGCTTACGTACATTGTCTCAAAAATGGACGCATTCGTCCTCAACGAAACGCATAATCCTTTATACTTTTAGACACAAACCACCTGCCGGTGACTACC